AGTAAAATTAGTTTAAATTTCAAAGTTTAAAAATTTGAAGGGATGATTTGCAAAGATACGACGCAAAACAGTAATGATTGTAACCTCCCGGCCATAAACATATTTCTGAATTTAATCACTCCAAAAATTACTGCTAGTCCTTCACGTTCTATCTGTGCATAATTCTATTCTGCTTTTGATAATATCCAATTGTCAATTGTTTTTCCCTTCCACCTGCCATAATATCTGACAAAACTGCCCCCTGGGGATGCATATTATAAGTTTAAATTTAGGGTTATAATGAACGGAAGCATCAGCTGACATTAATAATGTTTTCGTTTGTTCAAATGCCAATTTTTCTGTTATTTCCCATTTCCAGGATACTCTTTTTTGTAATAATGAAGAGCAAGCTCAGTGCGGATATTATTTAAATAACGGCGAGAGTAATTAAAATAAAAGAAGCTAAATAACTGCGCAGTTCAGATATATTTTTTGGAGTCGGTGATCTTCGAATGGCATTAACCTTATGATGGGTTGGGTGCATTCCTTTGGAATCAATCCTGTGACGCAGAAAAGCTATTAACGGCTTTCCGAATTCACATTTCTCACTTCTAAGATGGAGGCCTGCATCCCGTATTCTTTTTAACGTTAAAACCAGATTTTGGTTATATTATTTCGTTGTTTGAGATTACAATGTCTTCGATATAAGCAGCAGGGATTGGTATACCTTTAATTAACTGGTCTATAGTTTATTGAAACATTCCTAGTGAAGAGGCAATTCTAAAACACAATCTAGTGTACCTGAAAAACCCTTATGAGTGTTTACACTAATCCTTGTGACTCTTCCTCCAAAGGAATCTATAAATATGCCTCATTCAAATTCAATCTCGTAAAACAATGTCTGTCCGAGTAGTTTATATTTGGAATAGAGTACTTGTATACCTGTAAGGCTGAGTTAACTATCTATTTTAAATCGCCAAAAATCCTAAGTTGATTATTTTTCTTTAACACTGGAACGATGGGGGGATGTTCAGAAAAAAAAGTAACTGGTTTGATAACAGCAATAGTAACTATGCGATCGAGTTCGGCCTCAACCTTTTCTGTGAGTTTTAATGGTACTGGCCGAGATTTCATGAAATGAGGGATTCTGTTTGGTTTGACATGCGGTTTCGCTGTTGTGTCTTTCAGTGCCCAAGCCTGATCTTAAAAAAGTTCAGAAAATTCTCGCTCAAAGTCGGTCCACGTAATTTGTAATTTGGCTACAGGTAGCCGATATATTAATCGGTAATCATTCCAATCAAGAAGATTGAGTCCCGATTCGGGTACAACCAGTACTCTTAAATTATAAGTTCACCTTTGTTGTTTCACAGTCACGTTGGAAACCCCCTTAGGCTAAATAATATGCACCGGAATACGTACTCAATTTTTGTATTAAACCTTTTTAGAAAACACTGCACTAGGTATTTTCTTGCATTGCTCCTCGCTTAACAAAGAAGATGAACATCTTGTGTCATTTTACATTTTATATCTGATCCCATTTAACCTGAGCTTAGATGTATAAGGTTCAGGTGCGTTCGAATTAACGCTATATAAAGATATATCCGGTCTGTTTTGTTCTTGCATGTAGTGAGACTGCTTTGTTCGTTGTTTGTTTGATGCGTGATTTGACAATTAAAACAAATTTTACCCAAGGCTGGACACTATACGCTTAAAATTAAAACAAAATATTTTCCTCTTTTAAAATATCGTAGAACTCATATTTTATGTATGTCGTTCATATTTCTATTATTAATGTTCGCCACATCAGTAACTGCCAATTCCTTTGCCTGAACCACTTTAAAAGCATTTTCAAGTGACATATCCTCAGATAAAGTTTTTTTTTAATGTTCTAATTACCAAATCCACACACAAATTTGTCCCGTAATCATCTTTCTAGAAATATTCCAAATTCAAACGTCGACGATAAATGTGTAACCGAAGAAAAAAATTGAAGCAGACTCAGCCTCCTCTTGTTTGGCATTATAAAACCGGTGACTTTCAGCGATGACGAGGTGTTTGGCCTTGATGTGTTTGGCCTTGAAGTGTTTTAGAAACAATTGCTTAATTTTCTCAAAAGTTCTATGACTCGACTTCTGTGGTGCACATAAAACTTCCAAGATTCTGTACGTCTTTTCACCAATGGCGCTGAGTAAGATAACTCTAAATTTTATCTCTATTTGAATGTCCCGGACTATGTTTTTCGACGAAATAATTCCAGATTTAATGCAGAGCTCCTCTAAACGTTCGAGTTTTGACATATTTCCGTGGAAAAAATCTCCCCTCTTTGTCAAAATGTCATAACTTGCTAAGGAGATGGGGTCTGTAATGACAACTGATGACTTCTTTTAATTTATTATTGTAAAATGAAAAAGCGGGGAAGTGGGATGAGGCTGGTCAACATTAACTATCTTATATCGAGTTAATCAGATTCACGACCTATCAATTCATTACAATTTACTACTACATATACCACAATACCCCATATTCACATGAAATCTACAAAAAGACCCCATTATATAAAAATTTCTTTATACAAACATGTATAAAAAAATACGATGATAATATGAGATGAGAGGGGGATGAACCATCAAAATTACATCGAAACGACGTGGGACATAACTTTGATTTCACTAATGTCAGCCTAATTAAAAAGTATTTTGAAAATATATTTTCACTATATAAACCCACTATAAACACTCGCTGAAAAAATATTTCATATCACCATTTTTCTCCAGTTCCATTATTCATGAATGTAACTCATATCTGAAATTATGAGGATTTTACAAATTTCCCTTTTTCAAAATGACGCATGTTAAATCTAATCAAAACTAGAAATTTTACAATATCTTACTTCGTTTCACCAACCCACAAAAAGTTGACGACCACAGACTTTCCCCAAACATGCATATATATATATATATATATATATGAGAGTATAAAATTTCAAACAAATACAAAATTATTTTGCAACATATCGCTACATTTCACTGACAAAATACGTGGGTGACATCTGTAGACTTCCCTCACACACTTACATGAATTAACGTTACCGTCCTACATACACCTACACACATAATCGTTTCTTTACTTACACACTCTTACACTTTCATACACATTAACACCTAGAATGTTCCTCACACATATCTACATATTAACCATTGCGTGTATACACGTGAGGCGTATCTGACCAATGAGAATTACCAAAAATCATAACATTCCAGTACTCTATCTCGTTGCTTTCTCATTTCTATTCTCGATCACTGACAAAGCTTTAGTAAAGATGAAACATGTTAGATTGAGTTTCGCTTTCTAGTTTGTTCTTTATTTCATTTTATCATCTTGTCGGATTCTAATCAATATCTGATCTACATGTGATCTTCAACTCACATATATATATATATATATATATATATATATATATATATATATATATATATATATATATATATATGATCCAGTGCGCCCGCGGACATACAGGCACACACATACAAATATATATATGTAAAGAATTAATGAATTTATTTTTGATCTGATATTTTTATTTCTTCAAATGATATTATAGAGGATACTCGCATTTGAAATAGTCGCTCCATTTTTAGTTTTACTTTAAACAGTGCGTATTACATCTGTCTGCCTCCGTATTCGGGAAATCTTAGTAAATAAAATATATTCTGCAGCGGACGCCGGTTGATACGTGTCATGTTTTAAAAATATAAGCGAATGCTTTGCTGACAAAATTAGATGCTTGCATTAATGGTTGTATATTAACATTATCTTCTGCAAACGTGTGAACGAACGTACGCGTCCATTTCTGAAAGATAACACATTTTACTCGTATCTACAGTTGCATGCATGCATTTGCACACCTACTAACAGGCACATTTACTCGCAACACTCAGTATGAGTAAAAAATATCAATACACACACACACACACACACACACACACACACACACACACATATATATATATATATATATATATATATATATATATATATATATATATATATATATATATATATATATATATATATATATATATATATATATATATTTATATATATATATATATATATATATATATATATATATATCAATAAATATTTTATACCAAAACATACCAAAAACAAATCAACACGGTCGTAAAAGTACAAATCCTTCGTTCAAAATTTCCTCAAATAATTGACAAAGATTCTCATCCAGTCATTCTTCTTTTTATCGGACGTAAATTTAAGCCAATCAACGTTGCATATGATAGGATTCCTATTCTTAATTCTATACTTAATGTGATATTTGTTCATCCAACCCAGATATGCGAGAACTTTATCGATAATTCTTCAGCTTTTTATTTGCAAAATTGTTCTGTTGTATATATATATATATATATATATATATATATATATATATATATATATATATATATATATTGGGGTGCGTGTGGGTGTGTGTGTATGTATGTGAGGGATAATAGATGCACTGAACTGGCAGTGACACATAGATATTTTCGTAAGTTTATAGTTATTTTTCACTTCGTTTTATGCGCAAATTCACCTAAGACATAATTTTTTTAAAACATCTCTGTTATTGTCTATTTTTCAAAAACGTTTTCTACAGTAGCATGTCTGCTCATGATGTCTCGATTACTTAATTCTTTTATCGATTTTCTGGAGATATTTTCTTTAAGTTCCATTTCTATCTTATGATATCTTCTCAGTCCTTTAAACCAAAACATCCTATGAATTTTAAGAAACGCCACATTAATTCCATATATTTGGCATTATAGAATAGAAGCTATGAAGCACACCGTACTCTTTTTTACCAAACACAAATGCTGTCTGGAATAGCCATGTTGGTGTGAATTTTTCAATATTTCAAAATAAGCGTGCTGGTTCAAAAAGCCCTGAATCTATATGAAAATAATAAGTATACCGCAGGAAACAAATTGTTTTACCTAAATACACATTTGATCTATCTGTTGCAGTCTGTTCATATCTATATATCTATCTATCGCAGTCTGTTCATTATCTATCTATCTATCTATCTATCTATCTGGTAGAGTCATATTTAATTTCCGTTTTTGAAAACCAATTGTAATGATGAATGTATCTGGTTGGAATAATAGTTCTCGCGCTTTGTAGAATATAAATTTGTTTAGAAACCTGGAACACTTTCCTTCCAACCAAATATCATCCCAAATAAATGTTCCTTAAATATACCATAGGAAATGATGAAAAATGTTTTGCATATGAACATGTTCAACACAAAATGGATACATTTCCACAAACGTCCCTAAATGCTTAGCATCATAGAAGAAATGTAATGTTGTGCGTGGAGTGGACTCGTCGTTGCATTATTCCTTTAGAATTCTTAAAAAGCAATAAAACAATAACTGCACATTTATAACTCCAGTAGCTGCAACGTGTCCATAAAATTTTGATCGAAAACTGCCCTGCGCTCGTCAATATGAAAATGGTGTTCTCTTTTATGACAAGGCAAGGCCACATACAACAAAAATGACAGGAAAATATTTCAAAACTCAGTTGGTCCCATTCGTCATATTCACTGACCAATTTTCGATCACTGCAAAATGTTTTGATGAAGAAAATTTTATCTAATGAAATCCAGCTTCGACGCAAATTATTTTCACGGCAAAACCTGTGGAAATTTACTCAAAATATATTGGAGAGAATCCTGATAAGTGGCAATAAGTTATTTGTGGATATATAATTGAATAAAATGTAAAAGTAGTTTATTTTTTGAAGAATAATATTGATATTTCTGATTCTTTCTTTCTATCTATCTATATATCAGAAGGCATAGGAAGTAGTGGATAGCGGACTGGATTGAGGAATCGGAGAGCCAAGTTCGAATTTCAGTCGAATTCATTACATTCACTTACGTGCTAATACCCTTGGTAAAGGTATGAATCCTCCTCTTCTCCTTCAGCTATGGGTAAATAGCAGGACAGACCAGGTCTATCGCAGAAAGAAATGGCAACCTACTGCGGGAAAAAATCTGCCTCGTCAGTTATGTATCGAAAGATACATGATTGCCTAATCGTGTATCACGCATGAATCGTGACTGACTGATCTATCTATCTATCTATCTATCTATCTATCTATCTATCTATCTATCTATCTATCTAAATCTCAGCTTAGGTTCGTAATAAACTATTAGTGTATACAGCCTTTGTAGTTATTTTTAATAAGTGAACAATTTCATGAGTTAAACATAACATGCGTGAATAAGAGAAATTATGACACGGAAATCCGAAGGTGCATTGAAGTAGCGAAAGATGTCTTCCAAATACTAAGCTAAGTATTAAGAAACAGGAAAAATTCATTCGAAAAAACGAAAACAGTATTTCTACGTAATATCATGGCAGCGACAATTTCTTCACAGATGAAATGGAAACTTAAGAAACCAGAAATGTAGTTCTACAGAAGGATGCTGAGAATACCATGGGCGGAACATTTGAACACTGAGGAAGTTTTAAGGTAATAGGGAACAAAAAAAGGATAATCATACAGAAACAATTGATATTTCTGGGATACATGAGGAAGAAAAAGATCTTGGAGAATTTAACACTCCCAGGACATATTAAAGCACGGGGGGGTGCAGAGAGAAAAATCGAGTAACCCCTCTCTAAATAACTTGTTTTAATGGATGACAGAACAGGGAGTGGCAGAGAGAGTAAAGCGGCAAACATTGCAGTAAAGATTTCTTTTTAATCAACTAACCCCAAGCAAACTAAAAATGCCATTATAGCGCAAGGGCGTGAAAGAGAATCAGAAAACTTTAAAAGGAATCGGAAACCCATTCTTAAACAAGAGACAAGGGATAAACTTCTAATCCTGCTCAAAAACCCAGAGTAGTGTGTGAACCGGATGACAGGTCAACCTCTACAAATGATAGGAAGTTGTGGAGAGAAATCATCGCTCACGTCCTGAAGCGACGTGACATATAAAAGAAAGTATCTTATTTTTAATCGATATAAATACGTATTTAATAAATATATATTTAATACGTATTTAATAGATACGTATTTAATAAATACGTATTTAATACTATATATTAATTTAATAAATGCGTATTTAGTACTATATATATGCATTTTTACTGACCCAGTGATACTGAAACAGATGTCGAAAGATTATAATTTGCTTCTGATAATCCTACTACTAATAATACTAATATTATTACTATTGCTTATTGATGTGGGGCCAAAGTCGGGACCACAGAAAGAAAAAACGGAACACGGATTAGATGTAAGAAAGATATATTAACAACAGGTTACAGAGATAGTGTAAGCGGAGCTTGCTATATGTTAGTGTCCAATACTGGTAGTCGTACGCGGCTCTCACTGTCTCTCTGTCTCTCTGACTAGAGTGTTGTGTCGCATACTTAATATAGACCTGGAAGAATCTATTTTGTAGGTACTTCCGGTCTCACAATACTTATTAATGCTTTATAAAAATAATTATTTATTTGATTATATGCTTATATATCACGGGTTTTATTATGGTTCTGTTTTTATTTCTTTCTGACAGAAATTAATTGAAACGAGAAATTCCGAGTATTTGAGATGAAACTTTATTAATCCTAAAGTGCCAACAATCTTTTCCACTTTTTGCTTTTTAATTGTTACAATCGAATCAATAAAACACTGAATATAGGATGTGGAATTTCGTGTATGGTAGTACGACTGATCTCTCGTATCCTTGTGTGCCCCTCTTCTAGATTGGTTATCTAATTCCTGTTGGAAACGCCTACTCAGCCACATTTGTGTCTTTTCAACACCTACACAGCCAACCTCCGGCCTTCTTCAGGTGAAATACCGAACCCTTTATTTCGTCCACCGGGATAGAGTGTTCTAGTTCCACGTGCCATGCCTTTTCTAGATATCTCAGTTTCAGTTGTTTCCCTTCAGTAACACAATTCTCCAAGTTTTATTATTTTTTGTTCGCGTCTGCTGTGGCCAAGTATTGCACTTACAACGTATACTGGAATTGTCTCTGCAGGTTAAGATTATAAGGGACACCCCACTGAAAAAAAAAATCAAATATGGTGGGATATGAACCAGGATCTCATGTTTGTAATGTTAATGTTCTAACAACCCGCTAAGTTGCCCATTTTCATACACATTAGACAAATAACTTAGACTCCGTTGGAAATGGATAGACATCGGGTTAAATATTTAAAAATAATTCCATTTGTAGACCTCACTCAACACCTCTCTCTCTTTCTTTCTCTCTCAATATTCCCCGTTATATCTACCTATCTATCTATGGAGAGAGTGTGATTCTTTTAACTACTTGTGAATGTCTGCACGCTCGGGTGCACACACCCACACACAGGATCAGGACTATTCTAGGATAAATGTGCGCATGCTCAGTGATTTGAACATTTCCATAGAATATAAGACATTCACACATGCGTTATTCCTTACATTATTACTTACCCATTTCCAAAGCCCCACCAAGCGCCAATTCTTACAGGTGAATGCACGAAATACGCTTATTTCCTGTTCACGGGTACATATGAATAATAAATGAAAGTTAACATGCTATATTAACATGTTATTTGCCAATGCTTATATTAACGTGACAGATGTATGCTACATAAAGTTCACAGAAAAACCAACCACACACTTAAATAAGACTAATATTATCGAAATACATCGAAAGAATGCATTTAAGCTTTTCTATTCGTTTAACTTACTCTTCAAATCTAAGTATTTATATCTGTATATGAAGATATAAATTTCGCGCGCTTGAGCAGACTTTGGGGAATAACTCACTCGACTGTGATACTTCATTAAGAGAGCTAGCATACCTTGTGACAGTCACAATCACAGGGAATAAGCAAGTAGTTATAGAAATTTAACGGAGTTGTGCAATAAACGACGATAGAAAATGTGATACAGGAATCAGAAGGCCCATAAGGAACAGTGAAATATGTCTTCCAGAAACTAAGCAAAGTATTAAAATATAGGAAAGACACAAAGAAAAGATTGCTGAACTGCTGTGTAATATCTAGTCGTTTAAATGGCAGTATAAACCAGACAACATCCCTGTAGATAAAAAAAGTGATCAGAAACGATGAAAGTTAAGAATGCCATGGTCAGAACATACGTACAACAAAGAAATCTTAAGGAAAATAGGAACTATAAAGTATCTAATATTTACGGTAACGGATATCTGTCTATATTTCTGACTATTGTTCGGATTATTGTCCTCATCTTAGTTGTCATACTCACAACGTTTCGGCCGTAGTATGCTCCGGCCTTCTTCAGGTGAAATACCGAGCCCTTTATTTCGTCCACCGGGATAGAGTGTTCTAGTTCCACGTGCCATGCCTTTTCTAAATATCTCAGTTTCAGTTGTTTCCCTTCAGTAACACAATTCTCCAAGTTTTTTGTTCGCGTCTGCTGTGGCCATGTATTGCACTTACAACGCTTTGGGTCAATATGGGGAAAAACAACAATAACAACAATTTGTAATATGAGCTCTGGTAAAAATGATAGCTGAGATATTAGGTTTACAAGTCCAAAAAATTCATACACATGGCCCAGTTGACAAAAGCGATGGTTAAAGTAATGCAGTGACTTAACCCAGAGAGTTGTGAGTTCAGTAGCTGGCCAGAGCAGAGGTGAAGAAAAGAAGATCGTGAAAAAACTGAACAATCAAACCCAGTGGACGAATTAAAGGTTCGGTTCGAATTTCGAACTCATATCACCTGAAGAAGGCCGAAACGTCATGAATATGACAATAGTCCAAATAATATAAATAGGCCAGAAACAGTCATGGGAATATGACAATAGTCCAAATAATATAAATAGTGTAACAAAACGCGTTTGTTTAAATGGATGGGAGAACAAATTGACGTGGTTGTAAAGAGTTTCTGGGACGCATAAAAAAGTGGTGAAAATGTCCTTAGAAGAAGCTAAAGAGAATTTACACTATTTTGAACTATGGCCATTTCAAATAGAAAATATTGAACGCCTTGATCATGAAAAAGGTTCGAAAATGACGTACAGATCCCACGAACTGTCCGGAATGTATCCAGCCACCTTGAATATATCGATTGTTATCTATTCTTCCTGTTGCGTGCCAGTTCTTCTTTGGTGAAGTCTAAACATCGAATCAGACAGGTCTGTCAATACCCACACTAGAGTACATATTTGGTTACTTGGGTCTACTAGCTTTTCTCAAAGCTAAAGACGCCATTAAATGCGAGAATATTTGAAACCGTGGATTAGATTAAGGTAAACGCGATGAGACAGAAAACGAGGTACAAAAGAGGACCTTGAAGAGTGTTTTGAAAAGTGGAATGAACGCTGGGATAAGTGTAAAACCCCAAAGAGAATTACGGTAACGAGGAATAAAGTGGTAGCCCATGTTTTGATAATATCAAATGGGCGGACATTTTTTGGATGGACATTGTATAGTTATTTTCGTGCATAAGGATATGAACACAATTTTGTAACACCTGTGTAGTAGTCGATACTATGATGAGGAAAATTAGATTAAGGGTCACTATAGGAGCGACTCACGTTATTGCGACAAATAACCGATAAACACGCATGAACTGGGAAACCAAAGCTGAAAATATTTACCCCTGTAAAACATGTTTACATTTACAAAACTGTAACTGCATGATGTCTATAACAGATCGATATGGGAAAATATACTAGCATATTTCTACTGTTTGATGAGTGGGTGAGATTTTGCACCAACATATGATAAAATTAGCAGTACTCGTTGCTAATTTTTTGGCTTGGAGAAAAAAGGGTGATGGGTTGTATGATCATAATATTTTCAACATGATGTGACAGACACTTCTTTTATATGCCATGTCATGTCAAAATGTTGTCGATTATGGCTCTTCACGACCTCATATCTCTTGTAGACTTAAAGAATGTTTGTACAGATGTTATCTCTCTAATTCTCTTTTCTGACATCCATTTACAGAAACTCCTTACTCGCTGTCTCTCTCTGCCACTCCTGACTTCGATATGTCTTGCCAAAGTCAGATTCTCCGAGTCCTCTTTCATTACTATATTCCCTAGAAATTTCAATTGTCTCTTTTTTATTCTAATCAAAAGTTCTTTTTTGTTTCCCGTTTTTCTTAAAGCGTTCTTGCTGCCTACTTGTTACCCTCCATGATACTTATCTTTCTGTAGAAACACATTTGTCTTGTCTCAAGTCTCTTCTTCATCTGTAAGGAATTATAACTGTTACATAACGATGAAAACCTACTTTTTTATATTTTGATGCAAGCAAAACCTGTCTGATAATTAATATAACCAGCAAAAGTATGAGCAAAAAACTTATTTTTCAATATAATTTACAGAATGGAATTATCTTATACTAAAGTTCATCGAGTACATGGCTCAAGAGACATTCATTTTACATGATCACTGAATGTGATATGCGATATAAATATAAGAGGAGGTAGAAGGAAGTTGAGATTAAGAGGAGAAGGAGGCGAGATAGCAATTGATACTTGATTTGAAGTGACTAAATCTATAGTATTCACGTAAGAACCCACGCGAACGTTTACGAAAATCTGTTATTTGCCAAATGAAATAGGGAAGAAATATGTATGATTCAACTCAGTGGACCAAGCATAATGAGTCCTAGCTTTGAAGGTTTGAACTAGTGGAATTAAAGAGAGGGGCTCATCTGAATATTTTCTATAGAAAATGTCATTTCTCAACAAAATCGCGTAAATGCTTTTAAATTCTATCATGACTGGAAAATGAGGATTAGGTGGTCCCAGCAGAGACATGACAGCAATACTCCATTTTTTGGTCTTATCTGACTCTTGTAAATTTAAAGCATACTAGAAGAATCGGGTATTTGGAAAAGCTGTACAAGGAGCAGACCAGCTTACCGGTATATTTAGCGATGGAGATGTGCACCACTAGAGGTTTGGAGTAAACTTGAGCCAAAATAGAGTGCAAAATATCAAGCCTTCTTGGGAGATAAACCGTTAATTTTAACGGAAGAAAGCTCAGAGACAGGTCCGTGATGAAGAAATGTTACTAGCTTGGTTTTAGGGGTTCAAAATTTCATAACAACATATTTCATCACTTAAAATAAAGAACTAATAGAAACTTATTAACGAAATTCTTTTTGTAATCTAACAAATTAGAAGGAAATGTCCTTCTTACCTTGATTGTTTCTGAACACACCATTCGGATTCGAATCTGGTCAGTGAAATCCGAAGAGAATAGCAGAGGATGCATTCTAAATGCTAAATTATCTTATGTAATATAAGTACACTTATAAGACAGTGAATGCTGGGGAATTTCCTCACATGTGAAGAAGTGAGGCAACAGAAACCCTGTTCTGCAGAAGAACACGGAGAACACTATGGAATGAACGTATGAATAACTAGGATATTTTAAAGAAAATGGAAACAAAAAATATGCTTATACTTAGAATCAGAAAATGTTAGCTGAAATTTGGGGGACACATAATGAGGAAAGTGGGCTTGGAGAATTTGACACTCATACGACATATTGAAGGCAAGAAAACATAAAGTAACCTCCCTAACGAGTTTGTGTAAATAGATAGTAAAATATGGGACAGGAAGAACAGTAAAAATACAAGTTGCTATAATTGTGTTACAGTCAATAGGAAGTTGTGGACAGCCATGATCGCTTATACTTGAAAGGACACGGCACAAAGATTGCCCTTTGTTGAGTTAAATACTAAAAAACCTTATTCAGTGAGGCACATAGAATTAAACCAAATTTTCGACACGAGCCTGTAATGCATAATTTATTTTTGTTTGTATCCGATATAATTAACGCGTACAAACATTTTTATGTTTTACCCAGAATCGCCTTTTAGTGCAAATTCTTATTAAATGTATATCGTGCAAATTGTGTTTTAAAAGAAGGAACAGATACGTGAGATGGTACCTGACGTCTTTCAAGTGCCAGCCTGCAAGTCTATCCGCTGGGCTAGACGCAAAATATATAAATAGGTAAGTAGATTTTAATAGGAATAAAGAGCGAAAACAGAAAGAAGTCAATGTTTACTGCTGATATGAAAAGCATCACGTCAAAATAAAGAGCTGACTGCAATACGGATACACGCATCAATATAAAATGGCAAATAGGTTTACACTTGACGGAGGGAAAGTAACACTTAGCCGAGCACTTATGAAATTGATTGTGCGCATGCGTACGCACTTAGAGTAACATACCGCAAAGAATATCGTTGAAGTGCGCCAGTGCAGAATACCTGCGTAAAAATAGTTTAACCGGGGTGGATATATATATATATATATATATATATATATATATAT